AATGGGGAGTGAGTGCATAGCTTTTATGACCTACTGAAATAATGATATGGTTTAATGTCACTTCCACTTGTTTGAGGGAAGAGAGGGAATGATATCAGTAATAATATCCCTAATGAATCGCCCAAGTGAGGTCTCAATATTGTGTGACTTCCAGAACTCTCATTAATGCAAGTGCTTATTAGAGTTTCTGGTTGAAGAAACTATCTGCTAATGTGTGCGTTTTAATTGTGACTGATGGTACATTAAACAGAGTTAATTGAAAACTTAAAATTAAAAAGAGTAACCATGTTGTATACAATCTTAAAACTAAAACAGAAACATCAAAGTCAGTAATATATAAAATTTACATACATAAATTGTGCATAAAGTTAATGCATGAAGATAATCAATTCAATCCATGCAACATCAAGAAGCATTAGATACTGCAACAGATACAGGCACTGAAACATTCCAGCCGTGAAGATTTGTTTTGCAGAATTAGCTGCACCCCTAGCTAAGCTGCTTCATTGCAGCGACAACACTGGTATCAGCCTGAAAATCTGATAAACTGTCCAGTTGTGACCTGTCTGCAAAAAGCAAAACAGATCTAACCCAGCCATTAACATCCTTATCAGCCTACCTTTAATTATCAGCAAAGTAATGGAGGGAATCATTGATAGTACTATCCAGCAGTACTTGCTGAGAAATAACTTGCTCCCTGATACCCTGTTTGGGTTCCACCAGGCTTCTTTACAGATTTGGTCCAAACATGGACAAAAAAAGCTGAATTCCAGAGGTGAGTTGAGAGTGAGTGTCCGTGACATCACTGCAGCATTTGCCTGAGTGTGGCATCAAGGATCCCAAGCAAAATTAGAGTCTATGGGAATCAGATGGAAAGCTCTTCGCTGATTGCAGCCATACCTAACACAAAGGAAGAATGTTGTGGTTGTTGGAAATCATTCAACTCAGCTCCAGAACATCTCTGCTTGAGTCCTTCTTTTGGCGGCTACGTCCAATGACTTCCCTTTAATCATAAGGTGAAAAGCAGGAACGTTTGCTGATAATTGCACAATATTCAGCACTATTCATAAGTCCTAAGACTAAATCAACTTATGTCAATATTCAGTAAGATCTGGACAATGTTCAGGCTTGGGCTGCTAAGTGACAAGTTACATTCACACCACACAAATACCAGGCAATATCTTTCCCTAACAAGAGGGAATCTACCCATCTCCTCTAGAAATTCAGTGATTTTACATCACTGAAGCTCTCACCAATCTCCTGAGAGCTACCGTTGACCAGAAACTGAAGTGAACTAACCAAATAAATGCTATGACTACAACAGCAGGTCACACACTGGAAATTCTGTACTGAGTTACTTACTTCCTGTCTCTTGTGTACTATATACGAGGCATCAGTCAGGAATATAATGGAATACCTCCCCACCTGCCTGGATGAAGGCAGCTGCAAAAATACTCAAGAAACTCAATGCCATATCTTCGCTCCTGCTTTTGGGGACGCTTTAAACTAATTTGACAGGGGGATGGGCAAACAGTAGACGTAAAGTCAGGAGCAAGATACAGTCAGATGTAGATGGAATATTAGGACAGTCCAGCAGACAGAGAAGACATGGGCATGATAAGGCACATGGGAGGACTGGTAAACTAAATTGTATCTTCTTTAATGCAAGGAGCCTGACTGGTAAAGCGGTTGAACTTACAGCATTGATCAGCATATGGGGATATGATACTGTTGCAATCACTGAGACATGGTTGAAGGAACAGCAGGACAGATAGCTCAACATTTCAGAGTATATAAGTTTCAGGCATGATAGCAGGTGATATAATGGAGGTGTTGGCATTGCATTATTGATAAAGGAGACCATCACTGCAGTAATGAGGGGGAGGATGTCTTAGAAAGCTCTTCAAATGAGGTAATCTGGCTAGAGTTTAGAAACAAAGAAGAGGTGATAACTTTGCTGGGATTATACTACAGGCCTCCCAAACGTCAGAGGGACACATGAGAGCAGATTATGTAGACAACTCACAGAGGGGTCTGAAACGAATAGGGTTATAGTGTAGGGGATTTCAAATTTGTTAACATTAACTGGGATTGCCTTAGTGTGAAAGGATTAGACAGGGTGGAACTTTAAAGTGCATCCAGAATAGCTTTGTGTGCCATTAGGTAGATAGCCATACAAAATAGCAGTCTGGTCCAAAGCCTCAGGAATGAGGCTGGTTAAGTGGTTGGAATGTTAGTGGGTGAACATTTTGGGGTCAGTGACCATAACTCTTTATGTTTCAAAGTCATTATGGAAAAGGATAAGAATTGTGCATAAGTTCAGTCTCTAAACTAAGGAATGCCAATTTCATTATCATTAAACAGGACCTGGCAGACATAGACTTGGGAGCAGCTATTCGCAGGTTAGTCTACATTTGGAAAGTGGGAGTCTTTTAAAAGTAGAGAGTTCAGGGCAAGCTTGTTTGTCTAAGAGTGAAGGGCAAGGGTGGCAAATCCAGGGAACCCTAGATGTTGAGGGATATTAAGAGTCTGATAAAGAAAAAGGAAGCCTATGTCAGATACAGCTATTAAAATCAGGAGAACATCCTTCAGAGATATACTGTGTGTGTGTGTGTGTGTGTGTGTGTGTGTTTGTGTGTGTGTGATTTGCTTGAAAAAGAAATGAGGAGGGCAAAGAGGGGCCACAAAATATCTTCAGCATTTAGGATTAAGGAAATCGAAAGGAATTTTATAAAGAATATTAACAGCAAGAGGATTTACCAGAGAAAGGGACCTTTAGAGAGCAAGGGGACAATTTGAGTGTGGGACCAGAAGATGTGGGTGAGGTCTTAAATGAATATTCCACATCTGTTTTCTTAATGGAGAAAGACTTTATAGATGGAGATTTCAGTTGGAATGGTGAGGTTCTACACAGCATGTTCAGGTTAATAAGGAGAAGGTATTTGTATTTTAGCGGGTGTAAAGGTGCATAAATCCCTAGCACCTGATGAGGTACACCCTAGGCTGCTATGGGAGTCAAGAGAGGAGATTGATGGGACCCTGGAAAAGATATTTAATACATCCCTGGTCACACGTGAAGTGCCAGTTGACTGGAGGATAGTGAATGCAGTTCCTCTGTTCAAAAAGGGCAGCAGGGATAGGCCAAGTAGTTATAGACCAGTTAGTCTGACATCAATGGTAGGGAAATTGTCGAGTAAAATTCTGAGGGATAGGATTAATCAACACTTGGAAAGGCAGGAATTGATCAAGGATAGTCAGCACAGATTTGTTGGAGAGAGATCCTGTCTGACTAATTTGATTGAGTTTTTTGAAAAAGTGACTAAATATATTGATGAAGGTAATGAAGTTGATGTGATTTACATGGACCACAGTAAGGCCTTTGGCAAGGTCCTACATGGAAGGCTCAACTCATTTGGGACATGAGACTTGATTTTTCACAGCTGTTATTCTACACAATAGATCTTTCCAACTTGTGTTTGGTCCTACTGATAAGATTTTAATTGTTAGGGAGTAAAATGTTGCTGGAACTTCAGAAGAAGTAGGGTCCCGACATGAAACGTCAACTTTCCTGCTCCTCTGATGCTGCCTGGTCTGCTGTGTTCCTCCAGCTCCACACTGTGTTATCTCTGACTCCAGCATCTGCAGTTCTTGCTATCTTTGACAAAATGTATCTTTTTTCAGCAATACTCAAACACCAAATCTTACAAAATTGAAACTCAATCAATTAAACGATAATGTTATTTACTCCACTGCCAAGGTACTCCAGTTGCTGCTGTAAAGTAAAATGTTAACTATACCTTTACTTTAAAAAATGCTGCTGACATTGTGAATAACGAACTATGTCAACATGTTGTCAGATCATTTGGAGCTGGGACCGAGTGTGTAAGTTTCCAGAGTTGTCCTCTCTCATAATCTCCTGTATTAGTTGACACTTAATAAAGGTAGTTGCTCACTGCCAAGAGTATGGTCCACCTTTCAGCAACAACTCAGACCTGACCTTTGGACAACTATGAAGTCATAGAAGACCTCAAGTGCACATGTGGGCACTGCATCTTTCTTCTCCAGGGTACAGATGATGTCACGGCAGTCAGAGCAAATGTCTCCATTGGATGGCTTCCTTGGGGCATAGGTTTAAGATGTGAGGACAAAGATTTAAAAGGGACCTATGGTGCAAATTTTTCACACAGAGACTGGTGTGTTATGGAATGAACTGCCAGAGGAACTGGTGGAGGCTGGTACAATTGCAACATTTAAAAGGCAACTGGATGGGTAGATGAATAAGAAGGGCTTAGAGGGATATGGGCCAAATGCTGGAACATGGGACTAGATTAATTTAGGATATTTGGTCAGCATGGATGAGTTGGACCAAAGGGTCTGTTTCGTGCTGTACCACTCCTGACTCTGATTATCCACTCCCTTCCCAAGAGGTGACCAAGGGTCAGAGGATTGTGACAGCTATCCTGAGGAGCGGCCTATTCAAATATTGGAAAGAGTGGTCTGTAAGCCATCACATGGAATTTGAACTCATTCAGGTGCTGACGGGACAACTACAGGATGACGTGACCAGTCTTTCATTGAGAAACTCCACTTCTAGTGTTTTATTATATATATATGTGAAGGCCCAGCATAAATCTACAGCTATGAACAAATATTACCTGTTCCTCAATTTTAAGGCACAGTTATTATATCATATAACTAAATTTCACAGAATCACAGAAGTCTTTAGGCGCAAAGGAAGACATTCTTTCCTGCGCTGAAAATTTACAATACATCACAAATTAGACCTTTTTGTTTTGAATTCCAAAATCATTTGCTTTGCACATGGTTGCAGCCTTGAAGATAAACAGAACAGAATTCCACACACTGCAGTGTAACCGAGGATGTATATATTTAGCTGATACAGGGGAGAAATCTCGGGACTCATGGTTTGAAGGGTGAAATGTAAAAAGACTAAACTTTGAGCCTCTCTTTCTCTCTCGTGACACCCTTGCAGCGTGTGAAAGGCAGCTCTCATTTCAAGTCCGTGCATTTTTAATACCTTGGATTCCTAATGACTTTTCGATTGCTTTTAAGATGTATTGAGGAAGGGGTTAGCTGATAGGCGGAAGCAGAGGTTGCAGGAATATGTGGATGTTTACTGAGTGCTCAGCGCAGATGAATGGATCCTATTGAGCCACTTGCCTCTTCCAGCTGCCAAGCTTTCCGCCGGATTGACTCTCAGCCGCTTGCGAGAAATACTTTGTAGGGCGAGAAATAGCTGACTTTTCCATTCCGTGTGAAGAACAACAAATTCCTTGGCACCTCGACATTCCACAGCGGAGCTGCTGAAAGCACGTGTTGGTGTGAATTTCGCTGCCGAGTGTGGGCTCGGGACTTGTCTCTCGGAAACTTCCCAGTTTATTTTACCATCTTTTGACGATGAGGCTGGGGCTAGCGTTCGCGCTGGTTTGTCTGACCGTTTTCCTACTGGAATTCGGTAAGTAACGTTGTAATCGACTGCAATGGAGAATCAATTGAGCTAACCCCGTCCTGTCTCCAAACCACATCTACCTCACCAGTGTATTCGTCCTTAGGGCTTTTGTGGAAATATTAACTCCTTAAAGCCTCATGCAGTTGTAAATGGAACTACTTATATGTTACTGTATACAATCCGAAGGATAAGTGGTCTGGGAGATTCGAAACCACCATTTGTAAGGTATTAGTACCTTTGGGGTTTGAATGAGGTGGGGGGAGCAGGCATTGTCACACGATGTAAATTGTATGATAAAATGCTGGGAAAAATGTTGGAACGAGACATTACATTTGTAGAGCGCCTTTCAGTTAAAATGTCGCCTTTCGAATAATGGACTGAGCAATGTAGCCGAAATCCCTCTCATTGACTCACTTTGTGTTTCTGAGGAAGGGTCACCGGACCCGAGACGTTAACCCTGTTTTTTTCCTTCACAGATGCTGCCAGACATGCTGAGCTTTTCCAGCAACTTTGTTTTTGTTCCTGATTTACAACATCCGCAGCTCTTTTTTTTACTGTTTCAACATCTCGGAATGTCTCAAGAGCTGAAAACAGCACATTTCAAACATGGGAAGAGTTGCAGCCGGCTTGTGCGGTGCAAGCTTATACAAAGAGCAATTTTGTTTTGTATTAATCATATTGGTTCAGGGACAAACATTGCCCAGGACACGTGGGGAAAACTCCCCTTCCAAATACAGTAGTGCTATGGCTGTGTGACAATTATCTGAGAGGGACGATCCAGCATCGTTTTGACGTCTCATCCGAAAGGGGGCGCTTCTCTCTCAGTAATGCATTAGAATGTGAGCCTACTAGTTTTGTTTAAATCCATCTGACATAGGGTCCCAACCCCCCAAGGTTATCTGGGAGTCACAAGAAATTGTGGACCAATCTCCAGGGTATTGCAGCCTTGGAGAAAAACAAATCACAGGGACATTGTCACCTTCTTTCAACATTTCTCTTTACCGGTTATTGAAAATTGGGGTGGGGTGTGGTAGTGATGGTGGGGGCTGTTTGGCTGACAGGCACCGTGCAGTTGGCACCCCAAGGGGGTGCGTCAACATGTGTTAGCCAACTAATGACTGGGGCAAGGAGGCAAGTCATGTGTTAACCCTGGGTACAGATTTAATCATAGTTGGTCACCCCAAACTAGATGGCAGACTGCTCCATCAAGTTCTGACAATCATTTGAGCAGTGAGAGGCATTGCATTTTCTTCTTCTGAGCCAGTTGGGAGGATTATAACAGCTCTGGATTCCTTTTCCCACCATTTCATCCTCCACCTAGAAAGACACCATTGCCTTTTCCCAGCTCTTTGGAAATAGTACATTTCCCGGCATCAAGAAGACTAGCTCTGGGTGGTAAGACTGCTAGGTAAAATCCTTCCTTTATTCATTACTCTATGGCCCATGGAAGGGCTTTCTGCAACCCCAGAAGGCTAACTTTAGCTGCGGCACTGTCAGTACACTATGACCCATCCACACTACTGTCTCAACATCACCCCGATTACTAGGACCTGTCTAAAGCAATTAACTGTGAACCTACAAGTGAAATATGACAAAAGTAAAACACTGCAGATGCTGGAAAGCTCAAGGAATCTCAAAAAATAACAACAGTTGCATCGATTAGATCGGTCCAAAATGCTAACTGTTTCTCTCCATAGTCATTGCTTGACCTGCCAAGTTTTATTATGTAATACAAGGTCTTGGTTTTGCCGCATCAAGAATCGTGTCCAGTTTTGCTGTCCTCACTTGTCAGGGGATAATGAGGTCTTCGCAAAGAGAATCAACTCAGTTCATATTATTTTAAAGCCCTGTAATTATCTGGATAAGTTTAGGGAATTTGGGATTTTTTTACATGGGTTAATATGGACTTAGAAATGTTAAAAATAAGAAAGCAATTAGATTCTGAGGAGGCAGAACAGAATTTCTGTGCTAAAGAGGCCTCAGAGAGCATTAGTAAAATTTACAATAGTATTGAATTAAGTTAGATGTTGGGAAGGAAAACATAACTCTTAACTCTTACACTTTTCTCTTGGTTAAAGTGTAAAGAGTTAGAATAGTTGACTGGAACGAGGTTGTTGACTTGCTCACTGAACTGGCTTGTTCTCGTTCAGACGTTTCATCACCATGCTAGTTGACATCATCAGTGGAGCCTCCGATGAAGCGACGTTATTTTACTCCGCTTGGAATTTATACTGTCTGGTGCGTTATGGTGAGTAGTGTCATTTCTGGTTTTGATCTGTATGCGTTTGTATATGGGGTCCAATTCTATATGTTTGTTAACTGCATTATGGGTGGAGAACTATGCCTCCAGGAATTCCCATGCGTGTCTATGTTGGCTTGGGCTACTATGGTTACCTTGTCCCAGTTACACTGATGGCCTTCATTGTCTGAGTGTACCGATATTAGGGAGAGTTCGTCGTGACATTTTGCTGCCAGTTGATGTTCATATATTCTGATGGCTAGTTTCTTTCCTGTTTGTCTGATGTAATGTTTGTGGCAGTCATTGCATGGTATTTTTGTAAACCACATTGGTTTGAATATGGACTTATACAAACGCATACAGATCAAAACCGGAAATGACACTACTCCCCATAACGGACCAGACAGTATAAATTCCAAGCGGAGTAAAATAACATTGCTTCATCGGAGGCTCCACTGATGATGTTAACTAGCATGGTGATGAAACGTCTGAACGAGAACAAGCCAACTTGGCGAACAAGTCAACAAACTCATCCACAACCTGAGCTACAGATCTTTTGCCAAAACTTTGAAGTTGACTGGAATGTGTGATAAGGATCAATGTGCTGCAGCCTCCCAAAACAAATGAGCTGCAAGATTCCTGTGACTGGAAGTCATTTCAAATTACAGCATGTTAAATTGTTAACTGGGTCAAGTCATTATGGTTTGGTGAAACTACTTTGATTGTCTTTTGGGGTCAGAGAGGAATTTCAAAGAATGGCTTACTACATAATTTTTCTCCTTTTTTGTTTTAACTTGATTGGTTTGATGGTGGGTTGTACCACTTCCAGAGTGAAACTGGCATAATGGAGAAGTTGGACATTTCGTATTATTCTTGTCATATGTTTGTTCAATTTATTAATCAGCCCAAACAGTGAGCAATCACAGGAATTTAAACTGCATGGCATTACAGACATGCCCCTATAAGTAATGTTCTAGTGAATGTTACTGAACAGCAATCAAAAACAGAGCTACATTTTGTGCTTCATTAGGAAACAGAACCTGCTTGTAATTATACTGATAACTTAGTTTTTTGTACTGGAAAGTAGCAGTCTCAATGCATTTTGTATTACATCAAGTCATTGAACTTCAATGTTCACAGTAAACCACAAGAGAGTTGCATAAATACACTGCATTTATATTAGCCAGTTTGCATTACTGTTGAAAGTCTACCTATTATAATACACATTATATATCTCAACCTTGGTTAATACCAATCATTTGTCTTTCACTGGAATAAGAATGAAATAGTAAATTGCCAATAATACAGGTTCGATCTCCTTGCTGACTCTGGTATTATTTGCCTTCTTACTTTGCCCAACACTGGCAGAGTGGTGCCTCTTAAAATATAAATAAAAGATTATCTCTCCAAAGGAAAGAAATTCCCATTAGATGTTCCTTTGTGGACTGTGGCTAAATATCTGAATGATATCAACATTTAAGAACAGTTTAGAAGGCAGTTGAAGGACAGTGGGATAAATTAAAATGCTGGGCACATGAAATTAGGATTACACTTTTTGTGGAAATTATTTATGAAATGGACCAATTTGGCCATATCTTTTTCTGTGTTGCAATTTTCACATAAATGATAGGATTGAAGAATAAAAATGGACGGGTTGGGGTCTACAATTTCCAGCATTTCCTGTTGTGAATTCGACAAAAGGTTTAATGATTATAAAAGACTCTAAGCCTAAAATATTTTGGTTAAAGTTATGGAACTGTGAGATGTGACAACATTGTTTCTTTTTTAGTGGAATGCCAGAAGGAAGCAAAGACTGTCAAAAATGTTGCCAAAGGTAAAAAGCAAAATATTGGGAAGAAAGTCAAACCTGCCATCAAAAAGACTAAAAACAAGCCAAAAGTGAAGAAGGTTTCGGTCAAGATGTCTTCAAAGATCTTCATAATGACTCATCTATCGGAAAAAGGCAGGTTTCGGAAACCGCCTGATACTTTGGTGGTCCCTGCTGGAGAAAGGCTAGTGCTACGCTGTAAAGGGAATCACATTAGCTGGGCATATCCTAGTTATCTGGATGAGGATGATGAAGGCAGATTCAGGTATTTTTGTAACTGCTGAAATGTTAGTCATATTCGAGTAATCTCCATGCATGTTTTGGAAGTATATCATGTTTTAGGGTTATTTCTTAATGTCCACTACTTTTAAAGTGCAGTGCACTTATTTAGTTTTGATTTTAAAACATCTCCAAAGAATGCACTGTGATCTCTTTAGCACAATCTATATAGTACTGAGGGAAAATGATCATTTCTTCATGAAGCCATTTGTTGTGATTACATCCCAAGTTGAGATATGACAAAAACAATGCTTCCTGATAGATAGCCAACTACTCTGTTGTCTTGGCATTGAATTCTGGAATTTTCTCCCTTAACCTTTTCATTTATTTATGTCCCACTCCTCCTTTGAGACACGCCTTAAATTCTATCTGTTTCGAGCATCGGAACAGGAGTACGTCATTCAGCTCTTGGAGCCTGTTCCACCATTCAATGAGATCATGGCTGATCTATGGCTTCACTCCATATACCTACCATTGGCCCATATCCCTTAATACCTTTTGTTTTTATTGTATATAAGAAAACTGGTGAATCTTATCAGTTCTTTTAAGGCTAGGAGACCTTAAAGATGAGCCTTATCCTGTCATTAGACAATGGTGACACACTATACGATTTTAACACAGGTTGTTAACTCCTTGTAGATTTTTCCTTCTCAGCACAGAGTACCAGAGTGGGCGAGCAGTGTGGCTCATTTCATATAATGTGTTTAATGGCTGCTACAAACTAAAATGAAACTAAACTAAACATTTACAGCAGAGGTAGAGGTCAGTGACTATGTCAAACCAGTGGTGTACTATGTACAAATGCATTTCTCCATACATTTACTTTTACAGAAAATAAACTTACATGTACTATCATTCCTAATCCAAAGAGGGGAGCTGGTGGTGTAGCGGTAATGTTACTGAACTAATAACACAGAGGCTCAGACTCATGCTTTGGGAACATGTGTTCAAAGTCCCCAATGGCAGTCAAATCTCACCTGCCAGGATTCTCTGCTATTTAGTGAGGTTTAGACTACAGTACAGCTTCTAGCACTGATAATAAGTTTGCTACTCTTATTTGCTCAGTGTTTTTATTGAATTCTGAAGCTATCACATAATTGTTCTACTAAACGTAGAAAAAATCAGTCCAGTCTCTTATCTCTTTTCATTTCTACAGCAGCATGGAATGGAAAAACGCATAGCCATTCTCACTCAACCAGCACTTCAAAGTTGTAGACTGCTATTTTTAATTCTTATTCTTTTTAAACAGCTCTGAAAATTCATTCAGTCTCAGCTTTATACTACTGATTCCCTCTTTCATGTATTGTTTTTGATAGTTGCTACAAACTAAAGTGAAAGCGTTAACAGCTGAGATAGGGGTGACTTGGCCATTAACACTATTGTTTACTTGTAAAGAGTTACACTTCTATAGCAACTGCTGTGACCTCGGGACACATTTAAAGAGCTATACAACTAACAAGTTGTGTCTCTGTAAAGCACTGTTTAGCACAGCAAGGTTCTACTTATTACAATGTGACAATGGATGAACTGTTCTCAGATGTCAGTATCGCTGCTATGTATTTTTTGAAATAGTGCCATGGCAGTTTTAATGACAACCTGAAAATGGAAGACAAAGGCCTTAGTTTATCGTCTCATCTGAAAGGTGTCACCATTGAGAATACAACTCAGACAGAGAATTAAAGTGTGACCTATGATTTGGGCATCTCAGTTATTCACTGGATTAATCAGCTCAGCTTTTGGAAGAGCACAGCAAGAGTTTAATACACTTTTATTTCTAACTAAACTTAGAAATACATAAAATAGGATCGTGTGTAGGCCATTCGGCCCTTGGAACTGACTCCATCATTCTGTATGATCATGGCTGATCATCCAATCCTGTTCCTGCTTTCTTCTCATACCTTTTGATCCCTTTAGCCTTAAAAATTATCTCTACCCCTTCTTGGGGAAAAAAAATATATTTTAGTTTCAACTGCTTTCTGTGGCAGAGAATTCCACAGGCTCACCACTCTCTGGGTGAAGATATTTTTGCTCATCTCAGTCCTAAATCATAGAATCCCAAGCAGTGTGGAAGTAGGCTTTTCAGCAAATTGAGTCCACACTGACCCTCTAACAAGCATCCCACCCAGACCAACCCCATCACCAATCCACCCAACTTACACATCCCTGTACACTACAGTACAATTTAGCATGGCCAAACTGCCTTACCTGCACATCTTTGGACTGTGGGATGAAACCACAGCACTCAGAGGAAATGCACAGAGACACAGGAGAATGACACGACAGTTTCCCAAGGGTGGAATCAAACCCAGGTCCCTGGCACTGTGAGGCAGCAGTGCTAACCACTGAGCCACTGTGCAAGCATAACTCATATCCTTAGACTATCACCCCTGGCTCTGGACTCTCCCGTGGTCAGGAACATGCTAATTGTGTCCACTGTGTCTAGTCCTGTTCGATTTTTATAGGTTTTTTATGAGATCCCTCTTTATTCTTCTAAACTCCATTGAGTACAATCCCAAACATTAGAACATAAGAACTAGTGTTTTGGAGAACAATAATAGTTTGGCTTAAAATGCATGATTTTTTGTCTTTGACTCCTGTCAATTTCCATTTGAATGATATTTTAAAATTGCTTTTCATCATAGCATTACCCATCGGGAAAGGTTTAGCCAACTGACGGTAATAAACAGCACAGGAGCTGACACTGGTGAATATCATTGCTGGGCACTGGATTGTGACACTGAGACCTGCAGAAAGGATGAATCCAAAACAGGAAGTACCTACGTGTTCTTTTCTGGTGAGGACCTCATGCTGACTCTAGGTTTAAAGGAAGTGCACAATTGAAGCTCACTAACTGACTGGATTGGAGTTTAGACACTTAAATTTAACAAATATGGGAACAGCTTTTTTTTGTCTGCCTTGTTTAAATCTTTCGTAATTTTATTGTTGTTGGCCTGCGCTCTAGATGTTTATAGTGCTCTACTCTTAAGACAGAAGAAAAGTTTGACTCGGCCCTTTTAATAAGAGATTATTTAGTCTATACTAACGATATACTCTACAGCTCAGCACAAAGTCTAAGCTAATGCTTCATTTCTCGAAACTCTTCAACCTCATATGGTCATGACATCATCAATGACATAGCTTCCTATGTATATGCTTAGGAGTTAACCTTTATCGTCTACAATAACTGTCTGTGATTGGCCATTGTGCAGTGATGCCAACAGCACAGGTTCAATCCATATATCAGCTTTGATAGCCCATTGAGATCCTTACTTACCTCCTTACTTTACTTGACATTGTGGACTGGAACTCCTCATGCTGCATTATCATTTTTTTTCTCTCTAATGGAGAGAGATGTGTATATCTTTTGTGGTCCCTTACCTTACGAGAATCTTGTACATCTCTATTAGTCTCCAAAAGAACAAACTCCGTTTCTCCAACCTAACTTTACAGCTAAATTCTCTCCTCCTGAAACCATTATGGTAAATCTCCTCTGTTCCCTTTTCAGATATACTTTCGCTGCTGAATATAATATTTATATATTTCATCTCTAGCAAATTGATGGCAAGATGTTTCTTGATAAATAAATCGTAGTCTTCAGATTGTCAGATTTCTTTTCCAAAAGAATGTTAAAGTAAGCTGCATCCATGTACAAAGCATTGATGTAATTAATGGATCTTCAGTTCAAAGTCTTAGGCAATTTTGTCATTATTGCCATATATCAAACTCCCTCTGAGGTGCAGGATGATAATGTGGTTGATGACATTGTCCATCTAAAGTGCAAAGTGGAGTCACCTTTTCAGTCTTTGTCCAAGTTCTCCACTATCGTTGATTCATATGTTCATCCAATTCAGTTCATCCCACATACTTGACGAAAGAGGATAAATGCATAAGACAGTAAATAACATAGGCCCAGGTCTAATTTTGGCTGTAGTGCTAAAGACCAAACAGTTCTCGGTCTATAAAATACAAGAGTGATATTACCAGGCTGATCATTGTCCTATCAGCTTCCTTCCAAAGGGCGGCCCAGTGACTCAATGGTTAGTATTGCTGGCTTACAGCACCAGGGACCCAGATTCGTTTCCACCCTTGGGTAACTGTCTGGAGTTTGCACATTCTCCCCATGTCTGTGTGGGTTTCCTCTGGGTGCTCTGGTTTCCTTAAACAGTCCAAAGATGTGCAGGTTAGGTGGACTGGTCATGCTAAATTGACCATAGTGTCCAGGGATGTGCAGGCTGGGTGAATTAGCCATGAGAAATGCAGGATTACAGGCATAGGGTAGGGGGCTGGGTCTGGGTGGGATGCTGTTTGGCGAGTCAGTGTGGACTTGATGGGCTGAATGGCCTGCTTCTACATTGTAAGGATTCTATTAAAAAAAAATACAATGGAAGGAAAATTAATGTAATCAAGTAACACCCATTCACCAATAGCATATTCACCACTTCTTAAGGCCAGATTTTCATTAATGTGGCAGCAATTTTGAGATGTGGCAGATTTTCTTGGTGTTAAGGGCTCAGTTGCATGAAATTTTCACTCTTGGTAGACAGGGATAAGGTGGGATAAGGTCAGTCCTGCCAACTCAGGGCGTAGACCATACGCTGTTACCAGGCCAGCTGGTACTGAGGCAGTCTGGTTAAGTAGAACCTTGTCCCAGGTACATGGAAAAGAATTGGGCCCCTTCCGCCTCACACCATCTCCTTACCACTCACAACACTCCCCTGTGCCCAACATGCCACCTCAATGCCCATTCACAAAGTGTGCAACATGTGCAGAATGAATGAGCCATAACAGTTGCATTGTGTTGAAACACTGAGGGGAAAGAAAAACATCATGTCCTCAAAATCTACTTTGAAGAAACCCTGCGGTTCCTACAATCTTGTATGCAAAAACCATCAAATCAAACAGGGTCATTATTGTAAAAGAGTATTTTAAACATTTTAATAATGGGATGTGGACGCGGCTGGCTAGGCCAGCATTTATTACCCATCATTCATTGCCTTCGAGAAGGTGGTGTTGAGCTGCTTTCTTGAACCAATGCCATCCATTTGATGTAGGTAGACCCATTATGTTGTTAAGGCAAGTTCCAGAATTTTGTCCTAGTGACACTGAAGGAACAATGATATGGTTCTAGGTCAGGTAGGTGAGTAGTTTGGAGATGAACTCACAGGAAGTGGTGTTCCCATGTATCTGCTAACTTTGTATTCTGTCCCGTTTTGGTCTCTCTACCTAAGAGAGACCTTACTTGCCATAGAGAGAGTGCAGCAGGGGGTCCACTAGTCTGATACAGGGATGACAGGACTGTTGTATGAGGAGAGATAGCTTCGACTGACCCTGTATTCACTAGAGTTGAGAAGAATAAGAGGGAATCTGATCAAAATACATAAAATTTTAACAAGGCCAGGGAGACTAGATGCAGAGTGTAATAAAACAAAGAACTGGGGATGCTGGAGATCTGAAACATAAACAGAAATTGCTGGCTAAACTCAGCAGATCCATCAGCATCTATGGGAAGAAAGCAAAGTTAACATTTTTGAGTCAAGTGACTCTTCATCAGAACTGTCAGTTTTTGCATTCTTCCCACAGATGCTGTCAGACCTGCTGAGTTTCATCAGGCCATTTCGGCTACATGCAGGGTGGATGTTTTCCCTGGTAGGGGAGTGTAGAGCAACAGCAAGGTACAACTACAATGCTGTTAGGGTGGGAGTTCCAGGGCTTTGACACAGTGACACTGAAGGAATAGTGATATATTTCCAAGTCAGGATGATGGATAGCCAGGAGGGGAGCTTATAGGTGGTGGTGTTCCTGTGTAAAATGTGCAGAGCAATGGCCGAATGCCAAATCCTCTTAAATGGTTGATTTTGCTTTGTGGTCAGCATGCAAATAAAAAGCCTGTGATTCAAATAAAATCCAGTGTGTTTTCCACCATGAAATTGGAAACCTGCTTTGAAATCCTGATTTCCATAGGAAATAAATCATTGAATAAGTGTGAGTTATATTTGCAGTTTTAAGGGGAGTGGCATGGTGGCCCAGTGGTTAGCACTGCTGCCTCACAGCGCCAGGGACCTAGGTTTGATTCCAGCCTCAGCCGACTGTCTGTGTGGAGTTTGCACATTCTCCCCATGTCTGTGTGGGTTTCCTCTAGGTACTCCAGCTTCCTCCCACAGTCCAAAGTTGTGCAGGTTAGGTGGATTGGCCATAATGTTCAGGGATATGTAGATTAGGTGGGTTATAGGGGGATGGGTCTGGGTGGGATGCTCTGAGGTTCGATGTGGACTTGTTGGGCTGAAGGGCCTGTTTCCATACTGTAGGGATTCTATGATGATAATGAACAAAACTGTTAATTTGGTTTCTCTATCCAGATCCACGTGAACTGTTTGTACCAACAAATGATTATTATGAAGCCATTCAGCTTCGCACCGACAGACCCACAAGATTACCTTGTCAAGTGACAAATCCTCTTGCAAAAGTATCTCTGCACCGGGAATTTCCACCTGACATGATTCCAGTAGATGGGAAATTAATCACATTTGATGTGAAGAAGGGGTTCATTATCCACAAAGCTCTACCATTATTTGCTGGCACAGTGTACTGTGTGGCAAGTTATCAGGGATTAATGCAGAGCTCTACAAAATATCTCCTTATATTTACCAATTGTGAGTATATGTGTTCTTTTAAAATTTAATCTTTTTTCTAATCGACCGGTTCAGAAATGTTATTACACACCTCTGGAGCAGGTGGGACTTGAATCGGACCTCTCAGTCCAGGGGTTGGGACACTACCACTGCCCACAGTCCCCAACTGTAAGTATATATGCATACCACATGTTTCATGAAGCAATTATATCTGTACTACCTGGCAAGAGAAAGAAAACTGAATAACTTTAAAAAAAAGCTATATTAGCTGTCACCGACCAGCTACAGGAAATTGTCATCACAAATTATTCCATCCTACTTTAAGAACTATTGTGTTAGTTGTCCTCCCTAATTATTTCTTTTACACCCCTGAGAAAAAGATAAGAAGAAAGATTTGAATTTATATAGTGCCTTTCATGACTACAGGAAAGTGTAGGACTGCAGGATGTTCGAAACAGCTTTATTGCCAATTAATTACTTTTTGAAGTCTAGTTTCCTGTTGTAATGCAGGAAGCACAAAGTCCGATCTGAAACTGAAACTGACACACTTTGGCAAGAAATTCCTACATCTACACAATTGTATCCAGTTTACCCAATGTGACCGTTAACATGTAGGCAAGCCTTTCTTCCCGAGACCAACCCTAGATTGAATTAAGCCAATTTCAATAATGTTATCAGTAAGGTTTGACATTCATAGTAGAGACGAGGGTGCTTCATAAAAATGTACGAAATGTAAACAGTCGTTGAAAGTAAACTTTGCATTTTTGTCTGTCTCAGACCCATCTGCCCCTCCATCAGCTAAAATCAGAGCCTCATCAAACTCTGTATCTGTGGGTGAAAACTTTAATCTAACGTGTACAGCTCTTGGAGAACTTGACATAGAGGTGGACTTCACCTGGGAGTTCCCTGGTGAGCAGGTAAGCTGTATCTGTCGATTGAAAAATTGATGCCAGTATGCTGATGTGCACTACAGGGTATCTCCAGGGTGCTCACTGGCAATGATGCTTTGAATTTTGCAACGTTGTATTGCTGGCAGTAATCCTCAGTTAGGTGCTGAGAAGGAAACATGATTTCTGGGGAGTGTGGCCACTGGGTTGGTTGAGAGGGGGCAACGGAAACACCAAGAGACCTTGGGTGAGATCTTGATGGGGCAAGAGATGGAGACATTCAGCCATTGGTGTAGGGACATTAGGATGGAGATTGAGTCAGCATTTTGGGGAGGTATAAGGAGTTGAGACCAGCAAAACAAAAGAATAGCATGCAGTGCTGACACCTGAAACAGGCCTTGAGTCCTTAGCATTTACAAATATAACCTCGGATGCAAAATTAAGATGTCCAGAACTAAAATCAGGCTCCCAGACTGACTTGTTAATATACAGACTAATCATCAGTCATCGAAGAGATCATAGCAGATTGCCATCAGAAAGTTGAGTTTGTTAGGAATAGAAGCCAGGAGTCCTTCTCCTAACTCCACCTTGAAAGCATTCGCATCTATTGAGTGAAATGCTTTGGGACATCTCTCTGCATAGGTCTTCTTGTTGCCGTGAATATTGTCATTCTGCACATCTCGAGTCACATTTTCCAAGCCCAGCAGCCAGCTGCGCAGAACTGCTGTGAATGTTGGACTTTCCACAGATTGAGAATCCAACCTGAGAAAACTCATCGACTTCTGTTCCTGCTTTTCTGAGTGACTATAAGGCCTTCTGATTGGGACCAGGGATGGAAAGTATACTTCTTCATACCAATACCAATGTCTACTGTGACTTATACTTTCCTACAAAGTCCTTGCTACTTCTAGAGACTGGGAAGAACAGGTATCTGTTGGAAGAAATGTAAAGCATTTCTTTCAAGGCAGAAGATTTACAAACATGGTTCTTATTCACGCTGAGAGGAAACCCTTTTATTGATTTTGCTTCCCCTTGTTTTTTTTTTCTTATTCTGGCCTACTGTTAATCTCTTCTTTATTTCCTTTACTGTGTAACCAGCTGGGGAGGCCGGCCTATACCAGGGAAAGCCAAGAGTCTGTGTACGTGGATGGGCAGTTACATCAGTTGTCTCAAAGTGTTCTCCTGGTGGATGAGGGGCGTGCTGTTGACAATGGGCTTTACAAATGTGTCGCTCAGAACCTGCAGGGAAAGACCACTGTGTCCACACATGTAAAAGTGCTTCCGCGTACAAGTGCTGGCCAAACGTAACCACAGGAGCGAGGCCACATGTTTTCCTCAAGTTACTGAAAAAAACTCTGAAAAACAAAAAAAGCCTAATAGCAATATCTTGTTTTTAAAATAAATGCCATCAGCGCTAATTATATAGTTGTCCTTTCTGTTTTACAGAATTTCTTTTATATTTCATTATGCACATTATTTAGCTGTGGTGCTTCTTAACTCAACCGTGTGACTATAATTCAAATAGTCATTCAATGGTTGTGAAACATTTAAGGTACCCTGAGGTCATGAAAAGTGTTGTATAAATGGAAGCCTCTCTTCTAAGCTTCCTAATGAAACTGTAACACCCTTGAATAACATTTCCCAGTTTATCTAATCAAATAAGAGCATGAATCCAATTTTGAATTGAATACTCAGCATTGTATTTTAAACAAGATGCAGAGATGAGAGGCAACATGTCAGATGTTCTGGGCATGGGGCAGAAGTGGGAACAGCAATGATCGTGTTGAATGTCAGAACAAGCTCAAAGGGCCGAATGGCCTACTCCTGTTCCTAATTTCTATGTCACGTCACTATATTTGCACAGAGGACATAGGGACAATTGCATGGTTTGTGTGGTGTGTAAAATGGGTGTCAACAGAGGGAGCCAAGAGATGACGTTCAATCTTGTAGTCTGTATACATAGCAAAGTTTGCTATGTGAATCCAGCATTGCGAGTTTATGGATTGAGCTGCTGCAAACAGCAGAGGGAGCTGGTTATATAGAGCATCATCTTGTATCAGGAGACAACTACTAGATGAGTAAAGCTGTGGGTGTGTTACTGCTTTAGAGGGTTGGATAATGAAACTACATAGCTTGAGCACTGCATTTTTACAGGAAGACTACAGAATTACACAGACTGAATTACACAAACGCTACATTTAAAAACAACAGAACTGGGAGATGTTTGCTCTGAATCTTATATTTGAGAGACACAAAAATTGCTAGAACAGGAAAAAAAAATCAGATATGATGAACCTGACCAGAACTGGGGAAATTTTATTACACTCTGTATTCAAAACATACTTCCAATCCAGTGTGTAATATCTTCTGATTCCCATGAGCTGCAAATACTCATATGTTAAATCAAAATGCTGGAGCTTCGTCAAGTGTATTTCTTTCTGTTGTTCATGTGGTTACTCCACCTGAATGGACTGATACATGAATGACAGCATAAAATTCCTGGATATATGTTCACATAACCATTAGACCCTAGCTGTTTCTGAATAACATTAATAAAAAGCTTCCACTCTACTGTGAAAATTAAAGAAGGTGGGAGACAGAATTGAAATTGTTTTCACACTTAGCCACAAAACTATGTAATAAGGGGTAGGCGATGGCCTAGCGGTATTACCGCTGGACTGTTAAGCCAGAGCCCCAGACAATGTTCTGGGAACCCGGGTTCAAATCCTGACATGGCAGATGGTGGAATTTGAATTCAATAAATATCTGGAATTAAGAATTTAATGATAACCATAAATCCGTTGTCAATTGTCAGGAAAAACTCACCTGGTTCATAATGTCCTTTAGGGAAGGAAACTGCCATCCTTACCTGGTCTGGCCTACATGTGACTCCAAACCCACAGCAATGTGGTTGACTCTTAACTGGGCAATTAGGGATGGGCAATAAATGCTGCCTAGCCAGCAATGCCCACATCCCATGAATGGATTTTTAAAAAGCTGCAGAATTAAATAAGAATCCTGCACACGTTACAGTAATAATCCTGTTAACAATGCTTGAGAAAGAGTGCTGCAAGCAGTTTGTAGCCAAAAACTCACTTCTGGGAACCTCACGTGCTAGGAAAACTAATTTATTTTCTCTTGAATTGCAGTGACAGCCTTAATGTCTATCTGAATCAATGCATTAGAACTCAGTTTCAGCAGAAGGGAGGTATATCAGATAAGCCAGCTCTGGTGACTGCACTCATGCCAGCTCAAACTGCATGCTCAGGTATATAGTTTGAATATATGGCCTTTAAAACACAATTGAGGAATTTTTGGCATGTGCTGTGATTGGTATGTTTCTGTATACAGAGGATAATTAGAACTTTTTTTAAAACCACAACAATTGCCCTTATATTTCTGATACTGAATTTGAACCAATAGAGAGAGCCCATGATTCAGCACATAGAACAGCAGGCCATTCAGCCCCTTAACACTATTCCAACATTCAATTAGATCATGGCTGCTGTGTATCTTAATTCCATTTACTCATCTCAGAAACATAGGAACTGCTAGATGAAAAAAACAAAAGTGCATCTGGTCTGTTGTCTACAACGCTGATAATTGCACCAATAATAAAGAAGCTAACTACTAAAAGCAAGTTTTCTCCATCCAAGGAAGGTTTTTTTTCTAAAGCTGCAGATCAGTTAAAAGTGTAACACGGTATATTTAGGAGCATGCTCATTTTTATTGCTTTATTTCATATCTAATCAGTATTTAATACAGAATTTCTGGTTTTGAGAGTTTTGAAATATAAACTTTCAGCTTAAAAGTGCCTGAGAAAATGAGACACATTAAATTAGAAAAAGAACACTTCTCTTTATTTGTGTGCTGTCATGAAAATTCATATCATTTAATATTCTCATCTGATATATATGCCCAATATGATTGCACCACTGTCGTGTTGGGTGGGGTATAAAATATACAGTGAATGCATTTCCCTCTTTTTGATAATCAGCCAAGTCATTGCTAATATCCTTCAATAACTACATTCTTTGAAATAAGTGACATTAAACCCTAATATTTCGAGCTATGTGTAAAGGCAGGGAGGTCTTGTGATGCAGTGGTAGTGTTCCTGCCTTACAGCCAGATGGCATCTCACTCCACTACTTGATGGCCAAGGAAGGTGCATTTTTAATGTGTCCAAAGAGATTAAGTATCCATTTGTAAAATCTTACAACATACACGTATGGCAAATGGCAAGACTGGGAAAGATTCTTGGCCACCCATGTTATGGAAAATAATTGGAATCTCCACATTGCTCTAGGACTACAATGTGCTATTTTGCCACAGCAATTTGAATGCCTTGTTTGTTTGAAGCCAGTTGGCTCAATTAATTCGAAAACTGGTGAAGATTAGATTGATGCCAATAGCATGAGATCTGCATTCTAGATTGGAAGGATTTGGGACTTGCCTCGTTGGTCTCCCTTGGAAGAGGTTTAGGCACAGTGGGTCAGACCTGCCTTTGTTTAGAGAACTGAAGAACAGCCATCAGGTATATTTAAATGCTGCACAAACCTAAAGGAAATACAAGTGCAGAAGCCAGAACAATCATTTACTTTTACCTTTGAAAACTTTGGCATTCAATTATTTCAAAATCTAACACAAAATTCTAACTATTCATTAGATCAGTAAAGTGCTATTATTTTCTATAGTTATTAGTACGACCTATTTTTACTAATTCCAGATCTGCACTTATTTCCTGATTATCTGGCTTTCCTAACATTCTGCTGTTCATTTATCTGACTGACTGGCACTGATTTCATCACTCTTCAGAGGATTGCATTTTTCATATTCAAATCCTGTTAGAGTATTGTGTGTGTACTATAGTTGTCTGTGAACTATTTGCACTACCCTGAGTTTATTGTAGAGCTCTTTGATTATCATCATATTTGGCATCATTACATCCAATGGAAACGTATGGAGGTTATGGGCTGTTGGCAGTTTCAATCGGATTAGGAAGTGGACTTCCAGAGTTCCTTTCTAACAAGTGTGGGACTGTGGACTGTCCTCTGTAATAGTCTGCAGTGTGTACAGGCATTATCAAGCACCAACAGTCTCCAATAGTTTTATTGAAGACACAAGCAATTCTTTCTGAAAAACTTCTGAACTATCTGATCTAACGTCTTATTCTAAATACAATTGTAATGTTACAAAGTGCTTGAAATTTTGAGATGCAAGTAGACATTATAATTTGTAGCTAATGCATCAAGCTTTGGTACAATGGCTTATTTTGTATTTTTTAAACCACAAGTTATATGCAAATAAAAAACTAAGATTAATTCCTATTTGTATTTGTGCATAATGCCAGTTTTCACTTTGTAATATTTAAGAATTTCATATGGCTATCATACTTCTTCCCTCATGAATAATTAGAATTTTTTCTGTCTTATTTAAGATGACTGTATGTTACCTTTAGACTCTACGCTGATGAACTGCGTGACTAGTATCATGATCTACATGTCAATTGTAGGGATTAACGGAAAGGATTAACATTTCTATGTTAAAAATAAAAATAAGATCATATTTGCTTTCCTTAAAGTGAAGAATAAATTTGTGTCAAGGAAGACTAATTTCACTAAGCATGCAGTTCACAATGGTGCCATTTTCCTAAAACAAAGAACACTTTAAAGTATCTGAAATTGTGAAGGAAAATAAACAAACAGCAAATGCCCTTAATAAAGTGTCTCAGAGTCAAGCTCTCGCTAAACACAGGTGCATAAAATGTGCAGGGTGGACCATATAAATCAAAATTCAAATTCTCCTTTCATCCAAGTCCATTGTCACTTCAATTCATGATTCATTTGGAGATTGGTAACATTGCAGTGTTGCATCCTTTTTAAAATTCAGCTGTTGGCTCTAATCAGTTCAGGGCTGAAATTCACTGAGACAATCAAAATCAAGCATGCTGAGGTAGATGCTTTCAACTTGTCTCAGGAGGAGGACAATAATCAAGATTGTCGAGTTTTTTATGAAATTCCTGTTCTTCTAATATTTACTGTCACCTTAAGGATACCTCTAATGACTCTGAGTGAAGTAGTTTCCATGATGTTTCAACAGTAGGTGACGCATTTCCGTTTTGCAGCTTCCAGACCAGTTCATCTTTCTCCTGACAAAGTCGTTCTTTGGCTGTAGTTTCTTTCTCCAAAGTCTGTTGCAGGACCTCATGCTCTTTGGTTAATTGTCTGTGATAAAATGATACACAATATGTTTAGCATTTTTAAATGGGTAATGCAAATACTTAATGTGCCAATACTTCATATTTCATATGCACACCCTAGTTTCCCCTCATCCTTCCTGAAAAGTTTCAGCAGTGCCAATAGTTATCCAGAACTTCAAAAACAAATCTTTATACTTGATCCTGAACACTGACTACTGAAAGATTATCAATCTAGAAGGGACAGCTTCACAAATATGTCCCATTCGATCCTTGTTTGACATCAACACATTAATGGAGCCAATTTAAATTCACTCAAAGCCTATTCACCTAAAATCAGGCTCATGATTCATAAGACGTAGGTGTAGAAGTAAGCCAATCAGCCCAGTGGGTCTACTCCATCTTTCAATAAGATCATGGCTGACCTGGTAATCCTCAACTCCACTTTCCTGCCTTTTCCCCATAACCCTCGATTCTCTAACTGATTAAACATCTGTCTATCTCAGCCCTGAATGTATTCAATGGCCCAGGTCAACAGCCCTCTGTGGTAAAGAATTCCACAGATTCACTATACTCAGAAGAAATTCTTCATCTGTTTTAATGGGCTACCCCTGATCCTGAGATTATGCTCTCTGGTCCTGAACTCTTCCACAAGGGGAAACAATCGCTCAACATCTACCCTATTAAGGCCCCTAATGAACGTATATGTTTCAATGAAGACTCCTCTCATTCTTCTAAGCTCCAATGAACACAGGCCTAAGCAACTCACCTCCCTCATTAAAGAAATCCCTTCATACTGGGGATCAACAGAGTGAGCCTTCCCTGGACTGCCTACAATGCCAGTATATCTTTCCTTAGATAAGGGACCAAAACTGTTTGCAGTAATCCAGGTCTGGTCTACTTCGTGCCTTGCATAGTTTTAGGAAGACTTCCCAGTGTTTATACTCCATTCCCTTTGAAATAAAGGCACTTTGCCACTAGAGTTGATGAACTTCCATCAAAAGAGAAAAATTATTTTCCCACAGGGATTCTGAAGTGGGTAGTGATGCCCATCCTGAAACACTGTGATCAGTTAATCTTGTGATTGACTGCCTAACAGCAATGTTCTAATTCCATCCATTCCTCCATTATCAGCAGAACGTCAACCTGTCATCTCAGACCCAGGTTCCTTACGTATAGTGAGCTCCCAAATGAAATTCCCACCAGAGTAAATCTATCAGTGGCTAAGAGCCTGGATGAGAAGTCAAGGATCCATCTACACCACAAGAAGTGGTCGGACAGTGATAGCCAAAGATAATTCAGAGAATTACACTGAACTCTAAAATAGGTCATTCAGTCCAAATCGATCAATGCAGGCCTTTTGCTCCCTTCTTTTCCTATTTTATTTCAACTAAAGTTATCAACATAGCCTTCTATTACACTTCATGTACAAATCTGGCTTCCTATTAAATGCATCTATGATAACCACCTCAATTACTCCACAGTAACAAGCTCCCTATTCTCACCACTCATTAAATAGAGGCATTTGTCCTGAATTTCTTGTTGGATGTTTTTGTGATGTATTTATGATTTTTAGCATCGAACTTCCCACAAGTGTAAATATCTTCTCCACATTCACCAAATAAAATACCTTCATGATTTTAAAGACCACCAGTAGGTTACCCCATAATCTTCATTTTTCAAGAGAAAAGAGTTCCAGCTCGTTCAATCATTCCCAATAGTTCTACCTCTCATTTTTGGTATCTTCTTCAAAGTTTTTGCATTTTATTTGCACAGTTCTAACAACAGATCTCTGAACTTTCCTTTGCTGTTTCATATGATGTGAACATCACCAGGAAGGCCATCAGTTGGTGCCCATCCACACCTGTCCTTGAGAAAATGCCTTCATGAACCATTGCAACTCATAGGGTATAGGTACTTCCAAAGAGCTATTAGAAAGAGAGTTCCAGGTCTTTCACCCAGTGACAGTGAATGAACAATACAATTCCAAGTCAGAATGGTATGTAGCATAGCGGGAAACTTGCAAGTAGTGGTGATCCCATGGTGGTAGAGTTTGTGTATTTGAAACATATTGTGAGAAAAGACGTAGCAAGTTGCTGCAGTGCATCTTGTTGATGGTGAATACCAAAACCACTAAGCATCAGCGGTGGAGGGAGTTAGTGTTCAAGATGTCAGGTGGGGTGGCTATTCATTGTACAATTGTGCTGGATGATGATGAGCTTCTGGAGTGTTGTTGACATTGCACTTATTCAGGCAAGTAAAGAATTTTTCATCACGCACCCGATTGTGGCATATAGATGGTAGACAGGTTTTGGGGATTAAGGAAGTGAGCCACTTGCAGAATTCCCAGCCTCTGACCAGCTCTTGTAATCACTGCATTTTATATGACTGGTCAAGCTTTATGTCTGGTCCATCGTAATCTGCAGGATGTTGATCTTTCCAATTTGGTGATGGCAATTTCTTTGAGTGTCATTGGAAGATGGTTACATTCTGACACACAGAGGTAATTTCTCAACACTTTCGTGACATGAATGTTACTTGTCACTTGTAGGTGAAAGCCAAAGTGTTGTCAGGTTTTGCAACATACAACTACCTGTTGCCTGCCACTTCAACGCACCATCCTGCTCCCTGGCCAACATCTCCGTCTCTGGCTTGCTGCAGTGTTCCAGCAAAGCCCAACACAAACTGGAGGAACAACACCTCATTTTCCGCTTGGGGACCCTACAGCCCTCCAGACTCTATATAGAGTTCAATAATTTTAGGGCCTAAACTCTTCCATGTCCCAACCCCCTACCCCACACACCAGGCCTTGTTACCACATAGCCTGCCACTACACACCCCCTGTTGTTAGTCACTAACAGTCTCCATTAACAACTATTCACCCTCCCAGCCTGATCGTTAGCAACTCCTTCGTCTGTCCAACTGTCTTTCTCTCTCTTTAGGCTCTATCTATCATTTACTTCCTACCCCACCCATCTCCCTATTTTCTGCATATAAACTGACGTTTTCCCAGCCACCATCAGTTCTGAGGAAGGGTCACCGGACCCGAAATGTTGACTCTGTTTTTTTCCTTCACAGTTGCTGCCAGACCTCCTGAGCTTCTCCAGCAGTTTTGCTTTTGTTCTTGCAGCATGCAGGACTGGTATGCTTCAGTATTGGAGGAATTCTGAATGGCACTTAGCATTATACAGTCATCAATTAACATCTCCACCTTACGATAGGGAAATCATTGTTAAAGCAGCCAAAAATGGTTGGGCTTAGGGCTCTACCCAGAATAACTCTTGCAGCAAAGTCAAGATAATTAGTCTTGAAAAGACTGTGAGCATCAACCACTGGAGCATTTCACCACCACACACACACACACACCACTACCCCCCAACACCCAACAATTCCTACTGACTTCAGTTGTAATAGGGTTTCTTGGTCATATGCTGCCTTGATGTAAAGGCAATGGTTCTGACCTCACCTCTGTAATTCAGTTTACAAAGTAGCCCTGGAAGAACCCAAAGTGAGTATTAGCGAGCAATTTATTGCTGAATAAGAGCCTCTTGATCAAACTTTTAATCACTCTTTGCATTCCTTTGCTGATGATTGAGTGTAAATTGATGAGATGGATTAGATTTGTCCCATTCAGGACATACTTGCAAATTTTCTATTGTTAGAATACAGAATAGTACAGCTAAGGAACAGATGCTTCAGCCCACCATGTCTGCGCCAACCATGATGCTATTCTAACCTAATCCCAACTGCCTGCACATGGTCCATATCCCTCTGTTCACTACCTGTTCATGTGCCTGTCTAAATGCCTCTTAAACATTGCTATCGTATCTGCTCCTACCACCACCCTTGGCAGGAAATTCCAGGCACCTACCACCCTCTGTGTAACAAACATACCGCACACATCTCCTTTAAACTTTCCTCTCTCACCTTAAACCTTTGTCCTATAGTATTTGACCTTTTCACCCTGGGAAAAAGACTCAGACTATCCACCCTATCTACGCCTTTCATAATTTTATTGACTTCTATCAGGTCGCCCCTCAGCCTCCAATACTCTAGCAAAAACAATCCAAGTTTGTCCAACCTCTCATTATAGCTAATACACTTTCTGATGAAGGGTCTAGGCCCGAAACGTCAGCCTTTCTGCTCCTATGATGCTGCTTGGCCTGCTTTGTTCATCCAGCTCTACACTTTGTTGTCTCCAATATCCTGGTAAACCTCTTTTGCACCCTCTCCATAGCTTCCACATCCTTCCTATAGTGTGGTGACCAGAACTACACACAATACTCCAAATATGGCCTAACTCAACTTTTATACAGCTGCAACATGACTTGCCAACTCAATACCCTGACCAATGAAATCAAACATGCCATATGCCTTCTTTACTACTTTATCTGCTTGTGTTGCCACTTTCAGACAGCTATGGACTTGCACCCCAAGATCCCTCTGTACATCAATGCTAAGGTTCCTGCCATTTACTGTATATCAATGCCCCTGAAGGTCCTGTCATTTACTGTATAGATAGATAGCAGTGTTGTAGCTGCTTCCTCATCTCCAAGCAAAACCAAATGTGAATCCAAACACATCTTCACCATTGCAAATTTTTCAGTATCTTGAGAAAGGTCAACTCTATCAAGTTATTCCCAGGTATTATCTGAGATTTCACATGCCATCTGCAACAGGTACACCCTATCACAATTTAATTTACTGAAATACCTTGCAAAGGCCTGTTGGTTTGTCAGACGAACTTTCAAGTCCTCATTTTCTTGTTGAAGGATTTTAACTTTCTCCTCAAGTATGTTATTTATTTCAATCTAATGAACAGTCAAGGGCAATAAAAATCTTATTGTTAGTCACAAAATCAAGTAACAACAAAAAAAATTCTCATCTCAAAATTTAGTTTTGTCTACACCGCTAAACTACTGAATGTACCAGATTCTTCATCTGTAATACTTCCTTATCCAGCTGATGGATTCTTTCATTCTTCATCTCCACTACAAAATGTAAACTCTCCAGTTCCTGCTCCCAGAATAAATTCGGTGGATGTGAGTCCTGCAGTTTAAAACAACAGAGTTTTAAAAAGTTAAGTGGTTATTTTGAGATGAAAAGTTAACACATTGCCAAGTTTTACTATTCTAATGTGTTTGGAGAAAATTGTAAAATGGATTGTATCTTGTTTTAGAAGGCTGCTCACCACCACCATCTCAAGCGCAACAAGGGATGGGCAATAAGTGTCAGCCCAGACAGTGACACCCATGCCCCATGAATAAATAAATAGAACGTAAAATCTAAATGACTTTAACTGCTCATATCAATGTCTATGTTTTCCTATGGTTGTAGCATATTACCTTTGATGATTTGTCTGTCAATATGTGACTACGAGCAAACACATCTAGACTTTTATAAAACTTATTTATAAAGCTGTGCTTTCTTTGAGCAGGACGCCAGAGTTCATGGGATTCACAAACATACTTATGGATTTACAGCAGCGATAGCAGCAGCATGATACAGGAATTGCTATCTGGCAAAAGAAGAAAATCCATCTGGTTCAGCTTCTATCACGCTGACAGTCTCATGACAACGATAATGATAATGAAATGGTCACAGCTATCAAATTCTATCAAATAGTTCACAACAAACCCAGACATGAGTAACACAAACTTGTGGTGCTGGACATATTTTTGGACTGTAGTCACTTGTTTCTCTCAAGCAAGCTACATTTAGAACATGCCATGTCTAAAAATCACTGATGTACTATATCTAAGAGAAAACTCAATCAACTTTGATTTGTTTTCAAATCCAGGACTGAGGTCATGGTTTACTGGGCAGCAACGATCTCCACACTTCTCTTGTCGAGTCATCCAGCATGGAAACAGACTCTTAAAGTCCATGCCGACCATGTTCCCAAACTAAATTAGTCCCACCTGCCTGCGCTTGGCCCATATCCCTCCAAACGTTTCCTTTTCGTGAACTTATCCAAATGTTTTTTAAACATTGTCATTGTACCTGCATCTACCACTTCCTCTAGCAGTTCATTCCACATATGAACCACTCTCTGTTTTAAAAAAAGTTGCCCCTCATGTCATTTTAAAACCTTTCTCCTCTCACCTTAAAAATATGCACCTAGTTTTTGATTTCCCCCCCACCTGAAGGCACAAACCCTCGTCATTCACCTTATCTATGCCCCTCATGACTTTACAAACTTCAATAAGGTCACCCCTCAACCTCCTACGTTCCAGTGAAGAGAGTCAGTCTTCCCAGTCTATTTTTATTTCTCAAAACCTCCATTCCCAGCAACATCCTGGTAAATTATTTTTGAACCCTCTCCACTTTAATAATATCCTTCTTATAAAAGGACGACCAAAACTACACAGAGTACTCTTGTACAACCTCAATATAATGTCCCAACTCCTATATTCTATGGAAACTTCGACAATCTACAATAGGCACCTGAAAGCATTGGACAATTACCACAAGTGGTGTTATTGCAAAATTCTCCAAATCTGGTAGCAAGCAAGGTCTCTAACTACACCATATTTCCTAGCCAAAATGGCTGGCATCAAGGCACTATCCACTCAAAACAACTCCACTGGGTGGGGAAAACCATTCATATACCCGACACAAAACTCTCAAAGCAACTGGTCTACGTACAACTTGGTTGTAGCAGGAGACTCCCAGGAAAATAGTGGGAATGCTTTAGGGATGGCCTTAAGAGATCAAACATACCTGCCAACTCAAAGGAGACCATGGCTTGTGACCGAACAAGATGGAGAAGGCTGATTCAGGAATGCACTGAACACAATTGAGACTTCAGTGGAAATGTTCTGAAGCGAAGCCCAGGTATTGAAGTGAGTGTAGAAACCTCCAACCAGCTTACCTGTTCAACTGTTCAAGTACCATCTGCCCTTTACGCAGCAGAGAATGTAGACCATGCGTTGAACTTAACAGCCATGTAAGAACCTATCGAACCCAAGTAGAAGTAAATCATCCTTGATCCTGACAGACTACCTGAGAAGAGGAGACTAACCATATTCACTCCCTTCTTGGGAAACCAGTTCCCATTTGTATTAAAATAAAAACAAAGAACTATGGATGCTGAAAATCTGAATTCAAATCTCATTTTCCTTTTAAAAACTCATCAGTACATTCTCCATGTCAATAGCTTCCCCAAACAGAGTTAATTTGCCACAACTGACATATCCTATAAATGCTGTTTTCTCTTTACATTTGTAACGTTTGTGTCCTGACGAGCACCAGATTAAAAGTTTTGACACCATCTGTCATTTCTCAGCAGTGGTGTGCATGTGGAATGCGCTGCCAGCAGTGGTAGTGGAGTCAGATACTTTAGAGACTTTTAAGTGACTCTTGGATAGGCACATGGAGGATAGTATAATGTAAGGTATGCAGGGTAGTTTGATCTTAGTAGGACAACAGGTTGGCACAACATTGTGGGCCGAAGGGCCTGTACTGTGCTGCACTGTTTTAATACTCAACTTCTGTACTACCAAACATTATATTGCTATATAAATGCAAAATACTGCAATCTGAACTAAACACAGAAAATGCTGGAGACACTCAACAGTCTGTGGAGACAGAAATGAGTTAATGTCCAAATGCTCTTCTTCAGAACACTATAATTGTGAAGTGCTTAATGAGAAATTTGCTGATCAGAAGTTTTACTCCATGATGGATAGTAAAGATAAAGTCAACATTGTCTAAGCTTCTCAACCTTTCCCCTTGCATGAGGTGTAGTGACCCTCAGGTTAAATTATCACCAGTCATCTCGCTCT